TCTAAGTATTTATAATAAAAATAATCATTTGTTAGTTATATTATCAATAATACTATTTTCTTAGAAAAATGCTAAAAGTTTCTTATAAATAAGTTCAGTAAATATTGCAATCTGTATGATATTTTTAAGTTTCATATCAAAAGTTAAGATATAATATTACATTTTTTTTATATTATTACTATTGATAATAGCTATAATTTTATGACTTTATTTTATAAATATCTTTAAATATATTTTTATAAAAGTATAATTAAGCAAATCTTATATCTCTTTACATAAGAATTTAAAATCAATACTATCATAAATCTTTTATAATAAATCAAAATTTATAATAAAATAGAATAACTTATTTTTATTAATAAATTTATGTAAGAAATAACTTTTACAATCTAAAAGTATAGCTTTTACTATATTTTCATTATCTGCATCAAGAAAATATCTTAGCTTGACATTATCTTCAAATTTTATATAAATATGCATTTATATCAATAGTTTTTAACTTACAACTGAGGCATCAAAATTCTGAAAAATCTAATTAAGACATAATATTCTTAAATAAATTTTTGTAAAAATATTAAATTTATATGAAAATATATCTAATATTAATTTATAATATAAAAAAAATTATCTAAAATATGACATTTTATTACTGTAAATACATTCTTAGAAATAGAAAAGTCTATGAGTGAGGTAATTATAGGTTAGAAGGAGTTATCACTAAAAATCTCCTTATTGTATTCTATATAAAAATATAAAAAAAATCATATTTTCTACATATGGTATATGTAAAAAGTATATGAGAAAGTACTGAATTATAGAATATTATTATTGAAAAAAGTTTGCAAAAATTCAGGATATATTTGTTATAGAAAATATATTCTAGTTTTATTCAAGTTATTTAAGTTTACTCAGATAAATGAAATATAACTAAATTGTATTTCTAAGTTAAGTGAAAGAGAAATAAATAGTTTATTCAGGTTGTTTAGATTATTTAAGTAAAAATTCAAACTTTTATACTTTTTTATTTTTTTATATATTAGTATATAATAAATAAATAATATATAATATAAGAAGTATTACAATTTTTTATTAGAATTTTATTCTTTACTAAAACAACTAAAATAATTAAAATGTAGTATATAAAATAAGTTAAAATGAAGAAAAAAACTTTTCTTCTATAATAGAATTTATTTTAGTTCTATCTTAATTATTCAAGTTATCCCAATATCTTAGATAGATATATTATATCATATATAGATCATAAAGATAAGTAGGCAAAATAGATATAAATAGAAGTAATGTAAAATAATATAACTTGTTACAGGTTGATATTAGAAAAAATCTTGTGACATTAAAAATTTATAGCCAAACTGATGTAAAAGAACAACCCTTATATTATATTATAATATTTTACTTAGTAATCAGCAAAGTGAAAAGGTAATCCTATACTACATCTTTAATATCTCGTTTAGCAATTAAGCTAGTATAGAAAGGCAATTTCATATTACATCTTTAATACTTTATCTAATAACTAAGTCAGTATAGAAGGTCAGCATCTTTATTATTAAATCTAACATCTAAATAAGAACAGAAGGTCAACATTTCTATTAAAGAATTTAATGTCTAAACAGCTTAAAAACAAGAAAGAAAGAACAACAACAGATGTTTATCAACTAAAACTACCAATAAATGAATATCTATTTAACAATTGAATAACTATAGATATTTACCAGTGCAAATTATAATAGAAAACATTTATCAATACATAGCATGTAATAAAAATAGACGCATTCAGATTATTTGATCATAGTCGTATTTTGGTTATTTAATTATATAATCATAAATAATAAATAGGAAAAAGGTAAAAAATATAAAAGGAAAAATAAGAAGATATAAAAAATTATTATATTTAAGTTATTTAATGAGATTATTTAGAAATATTTAGGTTATTAACTTTAGATTATTTAGTTATATTAAATTATTTAGTTATATCTAGATTATTTTATTACTAAATAACATAATCTAAGCCATTTATGACTAAATAATATAATTATATTATTTAGTAATAAACGGTTTTATCAAAAAAATGTTAAATAATAAATGTTAAATTTTAGAAAAATAAATATTTAACAACTTTAATAAAGTAATATATATGTAAGAATTTTTTCTAATAAGTTTTGTAAATTTAATAAATTTTTTGGTAAGACTTTCTTTATAATATCAAATTATAAATATTACTTTGCTTTTTTTTTTATTATATAATTTATATATAAAAAAAAAAATTAGTAAATATATTGTTATTATCTAATCCAAAAGATTTTAATATAATATTTACTAATTTTTTATTAATCGATTTTATTACATTAAATATTATAATTTTAAACATCTTAATTATTATAATTCATATAATTTTTTAGGCTTATTGTTTAATATGTAATAATTTTACAAATTTTTAAAATTTATATATGTAATTCTTATTTTATTACTTATTTAATATATATATATATATAAAGAATATAATTGGAAACATAACTGGTGCAAAATATAAAGAATACTCACGGTGATTTAATTTTATAAAGGTGTTTGAAAATTTCTTTGTAATATTTTTCTAAGAAAAGAAAAGAAAAAAAGACTATCAATGAAAGTACTTATATCATAAAGTTTGTCTAGATTCTTTAAGCTTTTTATATCGTTGCTCTGATTATTAATCCATTATTGGTGCTTGGCAAAGTAAAACTTTTTTAGTGTTTGATAGTCGAAATCGAAGAATATTCTTTTTTAATTAACGCAAGTTTATATTTAGTAAAGCACAATGTTAATTGTTAATTGTGTTTATAGAAATATCCGATAAACCTAAAACGTGCCATACAAACAAAATTATGATTAATAAATGATTTCTGTAGGATAAATATACATCCTGAGCGTTGTTATTTTTTTTTTTTTTTTTTTATCCTTCATCTGCAAAAATGGAAATCATCGTTTCTCAAATTAAATACCCAAATTTAAAAATTTTTAGGACAATTTCCATGCATATCGATATACCAGAGTTTTTTTTTTTTTAGGTAAATATGTTGTGAAACGTTGGTGGCTTGGTGTCAAAGTGGCTGACACAATATCCGAAAAGTTCCTTTTTTTTTAACCAATTAACAGGAAAGCAAGATTTTTTAAGTTTAAAAATCAAAATTTGAAGACAATAATCCATTGAAAAAAAAAACACTGATGTTTAATGTGATTAAATCATTTAATATCTTTAATATCTTTAATATACCGGTTTTATTTTTATTTTGTAAATAAAATAATTTTAAAATAAATAATAAATAAATAAGACATACTCTTTCTTAATAATGTTGTTATATAAAATCATTGTTTATATCATATGAAAGAATTTGAAACGTTGTGTGTATTTCCTCAATGAGTGAGAGAAGGTTATCCCGTAAAAAGGAATTTTGCGTTAAAATCTAAAAGTATTCCATCCGTTATCACAACTAGATTGCAAAGCCATCATTAGTGATGATTATTTATGTTATGGTACCTCATTTTACAGCCAATTTTTCGAGGATCTAAAAATAGTGCGCCCCAATTCTAAAACTAAAATGATGATGCGTTAACTTAAAACACGAAAAAATGATTTCGATTCAGGAGATGTCTTTATATAATTACTATCTACAAGAACGCTCTATGAGAAAATCAAGTCAATCTTTCTTTAAAGAGTAAAAAAAGATCGCGGACATTGTCCGATAACGTCTCAACTGCATCAAAGAAAAATCTTAATTTTTTTTTTATTTATTTATTTATTTATTATTTTTTTAATATTTCACATGTATTTTTATTTCAATCTAATTTATTGACTGAGTTAAAAATACAAATATCATTTTTGCATAAAATTTTAAAAAAAACTTTGATTATCAGGTCAATAGATTATTCTGATTGAGTTAAAAACTAAGTTGAATCGTAACGAATGTAAAGACTTTGAATATAGTAATTAGTAAAAGGGATATATTAGGTAATGTTGTTGTGCCACGTGAAAGTCTAGGAGTAAAATTTGCGCTTTATTTGTCCAATGACTGCGCAAGAATTCTTTTTTTTCTTTCCATCAACTTTAAAATATTCAGGATATAGGATTACAAAAAAGGAAATCTATTGATTTTTTTTCGAGTGTGGGGGGAAGATCAAGTTTGTATAGAAATGAAAAAAGAGGAGTCCAAAGATTTTCTTAATGCATGAAATCGGTTCAAACTTATAAAAATAGATCAATTTCAATAAAAGTAATCGATTCGATTTATTGGGTATAAATATCTTTTTGTTTCGAGCACAACGTCTGTGGTACAAATAGAAAATCGGTGCGAGATTTTCAACGTTGATCCTCATGTTCAAATTTCCCTATCTCCTTTTCGCTTTTTTTTTTTGTAAAAAGAAACCAAAAAATTTAAAATCGCGTCAAAGGAATATTTTTCTTTAAATCACTCTTAGATGATTGAAATGATTAAATGTGAAATATGATATGGTACTATCTTTTTTTAGAAATTGTTGGGTTTGATGATCACGAATCATTTGACATCACCATTCAGGTGATGTTTCGGTTAGTGAACTGCGAGTGACAATTAGGGATAATTAATTTAACCATAAATGGAGATTGATATTGTATACACCGCCCACTTATCTATTAATAAATCAAAGTACCGTAAATGTTTTGTTGATCATACTCAAACATTTATGTAGTTTAATAGATATATTACAATTGTAATCCCATGAAACTGGTTTTATATTGGGGAAAAAAAGAAATAAATACCACAGCTTTCGTATCTGCAAAAGAAAAAAGCAAAAAACCTTCTTTGTAAAACAACCAAAACAAAAAAAAAGAAAAACAAAACGGCTGTGTCCTATTGACAGATAAAAAATTTTAAACACAATTTAAAAAGCTATAAAAGCAATCGAAGACTTCCAACTTTTCAAGTTTTTTTTTTTAACGCGAAACCGTTCAAATAAAACTAATATTAAAAATGAACATGATCACTGAAATGAACTCTTCCAGAACATCTTTCGAATCATCATTTTTTAATGAATCTCCTCTTGTTCGTTCAAGAACATCCTCTTTTTCAACCAACAACGCAACTTCTTCTTATACAAGCTTACCATTCTTCTCGCAACAAAACAATCAACAATGTTATACAGGATCGTTATTTTCTCATTTACAAGAAGAAGAAGAAGAAGAAGAAGAGCTTGATGCCCCAATCAATATTTACCATGAAAATAGAGGTCATTTAGAAGAAGATAAAAAAGCAAGAACCGAATTAATTACTGAAATCGCAAATGATGATTTATATTGTCCCGTTCAACCACAACAAAAAAAAGAAAACACATCGTCAAGAGGATTAAATTCTTTCCTACCTCGCAATTATAATGGAGTGATGGAATCTACTAACAGTAATGACACTTGGGCTTTTTATCAAAATGACATGTTTAATACCACTAATAATATGTTTAGTAGCTTTGATGGTATCAATAGTGTCGCTTGTCAGTAATATTATAAAATACATAATTATCAACTTAATTTTATTTATTTATTTTTTTTTTTTCTTTCTCGATATTTGTTTATTCTTTGGCATTTTTCACATACCTATCGCACTTTATTTTAGAGACAATACATAAATTCGCACTATTTTCATTTTCGTATTGACATAAATTGGCAAAATCCTGAATATTAGCATTTTTTACATTTCTTACGATTTAGACAATTCTCCGTATATTTATCGCATTTTTTACGGATTAATTTTTTTTCGCATTTTTTCGCATTTCCTTAGACTTCATCTCATTATCGCATTAAGACAAAAAAAAAATTTTTTTTTTTTTTTGTAAATTTATGATTCAACAAACATCTCTAAGCTTTGTTTTATATACATAACTTTATTTTACCGACTTCAATAAAACATTTAAGAAAATTTAAACTAAATTGAGTATTAAAAAAATGTGTCACGTTTACAAGTGTAATTTAATTTATCTATAAAGATTTAAAACGAGATGAAAAGGATGACAAAAGAATTTATTCAACATCAAGAGAAAAGAGAATAATAATGTTTAATAATCTTTGTTGAAAAATTTATTTCAATCCTTTGGCATTCGAAAATATCAAAGTTTCTGCCAATCTCAAAAAAAAAAAAAAAAAAAAAAAAATTCCCACAGCTAAACAGAAATGTTCAACATTTCTTAAAATTCTCCCGCAAATTTTTTCTTTAATCTTTTTAGTAGTTACCCTCAATGATAAATTGTTAATGTCGTTATTTTTATCAACGGATGATTATAAATTTGGTTCGATCCGTTTCTCATTTGACGGGAATTTTTATGCAACAAATACTATTGTTTTGTGTACGAACGATTTTGATTTATCGAAATTTTAAATCCAAAATTTTTTTTTTTTTTTCTTTGATAAAATTTATTACAAAACATAAGCACTGCATTTATTGTCACACAACCGTAACCTTCTACCTAGACCTCGACATTCCAATTTTGTATTTATTTTACCATTGAGGGAATTAACTTCTTGAATTTCATCTTTCTTTTCTTTAAAGATTTTCTAGAAAGATTATAAAAAAAAAAAATATATTTAAAAACTCTACTATATAAAATTACATGTTTCCTTCCCTGCAAATATGCAGAATTATCTCATTACTACTACTCGATTTATACAATCTATATCTAAAAGACGTGAAAACAAGAAATGTCAATCATTTAACATCTGATTTTCCCGCTCAAAAAAAAATTTAAATAAACTTGGGGGGTAAAAATGTCCAATAATATCAGGCAAAATAATCATCTAATACATAAAAGGAATTTGAACAACCTCCGTTTTTATTTTTTTTTTTACATAAAACTTGATTTCATATGATTATAAACAAATCTTAATACCATCTTACAATTGTTTCGTTACCTTACAAATTGATTCGTTCAACTAAATAATTTCCTTGGAAAATCCACGTTTTAAATTAAGGCATCATAGACTAAGCGAATTTAAATCGTTAACTTGAATTAATTAAAAAAATTTTTTTTTCCCACCAATCAAATTTATCACCATAAATTCATATCTCCGATACTCCGATTTTTTTTTCATTATTTTTTATTAAGATCATCTTTTTTTTTGAATCAGGAATACAAAACTAAGTAAATCTTAACAAATATAATATTTTAAATTTTTGCGAATCCTTTATTATATTGTTTGGTTACGCGTTTTCTAATTTATTCGCTGTGTGATATGAACGCGTGAGCCTAAGTGTCGATCACTCCGCACGATAACGCCAATATTTGCCTTTTTCCTTAAAAACAATGATATAAAACTTATTTATTTGTTAAGGTCGGTTGGCAAATGGATTGTTTTTAACAAATTTATACATCAAGCTCGTGTCTGATCAGTGATATAACTAAGGTTAGACCAAATTTAAATTTAGTATCATAGCTTTTACTAAATGTTATACGGATGAATTTTTTTTTTTTTTAAAAAAAGAATTAAATTAAATGTATATTTATGAATTACTTCTTTATAACACGTCATGTTACATCGCCACAAAACTCCCAACGTTAAAATAAGGAAGATTTTCTTACTTGCATCTATAAATCTTCATTTTAATTACCTTGAGTGGTTTGTCATGCATCATATTGTGTCATAAGGACAATGAATTAAATAATCTTTCATTATATCAATGAAAAAATCATACGTTACACAGTTAGAATCCAAACGAACTTTAATTCGTTTCCTTCTTAAATTCGAAGGTCATTCATAAAGAACTTTCTTTCATACATTTAAAGATGAAAACAAAATTAAAAATAAATAAAATTAAACGGAAGGCAAACACGGATATTAGACGAAAGGGGTTACTCCGAATTCATTTAAACTCATTTAAAAGTTTTGTGAAGGGGTAACAAATTTGGTTTGTTATCAAATTTAAAAAAAAAATCGCGTCTTCTGCTATCATCCCCAAAACTTTTACCTAATTGATTGTGGCTAATATATTTGCGGCGGCTAGTAAACTTGTGACACCCGAAATGAATCGATTTCCATAACAATGCTAACCCCCATTGCGATTGTCGGAGTAACCCGGAATATAATATATAATATATTTTTATATCTTTTGTTTAAATTATATTAAACATTGTAAAAATTATTTTAAAGAAAGCTTTTAAGAAATTAGCAAATGGCAGAAAAAATTGTTTAACGGATTATATTAAATTGACTGGATTTTTTTATAGTTCTTTGATTATTTATTTCTTTGTATGGTTTCTCTTAAGATCTATTCTCTTTTTTATATTAAAATTTTTAATATTATTTAAAGTAATGGCATTTTGATTTCTTTTATTATTTTTTTTTTTATATTTGTTGATTTATTTATCTTATTATTATATAACTTAAATGAGAAGATGGCTAAGAAAATCAGGTTTTGAGAACTTTTGACTAAATCAAAATTTTTAATTAAGGATTGCATATTATAAGAAATAAAAATTAAATTATTTTATATTTAATATATGAAAACTCATTAGTAAAAAAGGAGGAAATCTAAAATTTCCATTAATTTTAGTTTCTAAGCTAATTTTAAGTATATGACTGTGATCAGTCAAGTAGACTAATAAAAAAAATTTTTATCAAAATTTAGATTTTCTCCTTTTTTATTGATTATTTCCCATATTATAAAACTTTTATAAAAGAAAATATTTATATAATATACCTATCAAAATCCATTTTAATGGATAATATAAAATTTTAAATCAAAATTAATATTATAAATTTATAGTAAATATAATTGCATTAGTAAAATAATATATTTATATTATTCTTATTTATTTTAAATTATTTATATAATATAAATTCATAGTCTAACTAGATATAATTAGTAAAATTTATTTTATTATTTTGGTTATATTTGCAAGATAATATAATTTATATTTTAAAAAATATAGTAAAATATATAATATTAAATTTAAAGTATAATACTATGTATTAATTTATAATTCTAAAAACTGAATTTTTCTTCTTATAATAATATTAGCTTTTAAAGTTATAATTTATATATATATAGTTTGTTTAATTAAAACAATTTATTTAAGTTTAATATAAATTTATTCATATTCTATAATATTTAATATAATCTTAATACTAAATATATTTCTATAAATATATGTATTGTATTTTTTTAAACAATAATTTTTTACATATAAATTTAAATAAAAATTAGTAATATAAGCCAAAATTTAATATAATATAGGTTATATTATTTATTTTTTAATAATTGCTTATTTTAAAAAAAATATAGTAATAACTTAATCTTATCTTAAAAGAAATTAATTTATTTTACAATTAAAATTTGTTTTAATTTTAATATTTTATTTATAATAATGAATTTGATTAAAAGTTTATGAAATTTATTATAAAAAAATAAATCAGATAAATAAAAACATTTATTATATAAATGTTACTTATAATAAAATTTATTATAATAAACTTTAATTATAATTATTTTTCAATATAAATTATAAATATATAATCTTTTTATTATTGTTTTAAAATTTTATATAATTTATATAAACTGTATATTTTTATATATTTTATCAATAGATATTTTACATACAATAAAGAAATATTAAGCAAATTTTTTTAAATTAATATTTATATTTAGTTAATAAAATAAAAAAATTATTATTATTAATTTTCTTCTTTTCTATCATATTTTATTTAAAATATAAATTAATATTGTACTTATTTTACTTTATTTAAAAATGAAAATATTAATTTAAAATAAAAAAAATAATAATAATAAAAATATAAAAATTATTTTAAAAAAATATATAATATAATATAGAAAATCAGTATCCGGACTTTTTGTCGAATCTGTTTCACTAAAACTTACTTTACTAAAGCTAATTCATTGAAAGAACTCTTTTAAATAACCACTTTGCTGAATAGACTTTTTATTGAAAGACATTTTCGTTGAAATATCATTTTACCAAAAGGATATTTTGCTAAAATACTATTTTACTGAATAATATTTTGCTGAATTATTTTTGTCAAATAAACATATTGTGAATGGGTAAATGTGATGCAGCTCATGTGACGCAGAAGATCAACCGATTTAACATAACTGACATATATGATATGTCAGACATATTTGACATATTTAACATAGTTGACATAGTTAACATAGTTGATCTATTAGATATAGTTGATATATTAGACATATTAGTTATATTTTTCTATGTATTTTAT